TGGAGACCCTCGTGAAGGTGCGGGTCAGGGGTGAGGGCGGGGGGGGGCCTCTTCCCCTGCTGTGCTGCGCTCTGGGCTGGGAAGCTGATAGCCCTGTGCCGGGTCCCCGTGGGTAACTCCCGGTGCCGGGCAGTACTCCTTCACAGGCAAGTGGACCTTGGCGGGGCTTCAACACAGATCACGTTTTTTCCTGGGTTCGCTGTAGATGATAGCAGCACGGCAGCCCTCCTCAGGCTGTACGGGACCAACCACTCCATTTACACCCACAGCTACCTCTGTTACGGGCAAAAGCAAGCCCTGAAGATGCTCATGGCATCCCTACAGCAGGTAACCACCTCCAGCCTTGTGCTCTTCCACTGCAGCCTAAGCCCTGATCTCACTGAGCTGGGCGGGCAGCACCCATGGGCTGTGATGGCTGCTGGGCTCTGCCTTTGTCCAAACCCTCACGTAGATGGCGGATACAACAGGGCCATCACGGTAGAAGCCATCCCAGGGGTGTCCCAACAGCAGGGCAGGACTGAGCCGACATGGAGACAGACACGCCAAAGCAGGATGTCTGACCACGGGCACTGCCAGGATGAAGGGTGCCCGGGGCCCCTTTCCCAGGGCCATCTTGCCCACCAGATCTCCGTCCCTGTCCTGATGGAGGGGCTGTGTCAGCCCAGCCTCAGCCACAGGGTGCTGGAAGGACAGCCCTGGAGGAGGGAGCCTGCTGGGAGGTAGGATAGCTGGGAGGTTGAGGAAGACCCAGCAAGATTTTTTAGCACCACTATGGTAATGGTTGGTTTTATGAGTAGAAATCTGAACATGCTGGTCTTCAGCAGTAGGTGCTGGGCATGGGAGAGCAAAGGGAGGTGTCGTTGCTGCACAGGGAGACCCTCATGTCCATAGATTGGCTGTGGGTGAGGGCTCAGCGCCAGCTCCTGCTGGTCAGAATGGGCAGAAAACCACATCTAGAGCACATTGCAAAGATAAATTAGTGTCCATTTTGGTTTTGCATAAATGGCTTCTCAGCCTTGGCTATCCCCTGACTCTGGTGACCCTACAAAGGAAGACTGGGAGCAAAATGGGTCCACGCTGAGTGTGGGGTGCAAACCTCCAAGACCTTGTACATGTGACCATCACTGTAACTGATCCCTGACCGCAGCATGGTCATGCCATGCTTGTCCTCACGATTCTGTGCCTGCACCCCATGGACAAAACCCCATGGGTGATGGGGCCAGCATGCCAGTGTCCTGCATTTGGGTGTGGGAACGGGCGCTGTCTGTGGGCAGTTTCTCTCCTTCCCATCCTCAGTGCCAGGGCCATGCTAACAGCTCCCACTCTCTCCAGGGCCGTCTCCCCAGCAGATACCACATCCCTGCTACCCAAGGGATACCAGGAGAACGTCACCACAGCGGACCTCTACAAGAGTCCCTGTGTCCGCGCACCAAGCACACCCAGCCCCACACAGGTCCTCACGGTGACGGGAACAGGGGACCCTGCAGCGTGCAGCACCGCCATAAGCCGTGCGGCGTGCAGCACCGCCATCCAGAAACTCTTCAACTTCAGCTGTGGGGCCAACAGGACATGCGGGTTCAACGGGGTTTATCAGCCGCCCGTGCGGGGACAGTTCTTTGTAAGGAGCCTCCGTCCCCACGGCTGTGGTGGGGGTGAGGGGGTTTTGGGGCACTGGAGCCTGGCCAAGATCCCAGGAAAACTGCAGTAGGAGAAAAGTCTGAGTAGTGCCAGCCCTGAAAGCTGGGATGTGCCCAACGCGTGGAGACATGCAAGGCACTCGCCAGTGTGCCAGGCAGACCCTGAGCTCTGTTGTCACAGCAGCAGTCGCTTTCGGTGTGGGCAGCAGTCCCAGGGCTCCCTCCCAGTGGGTCGGCAGGCATCACCCTGCGGTGCAGAGACCCCGGCAGAGCACCCAGAGGGAGGGCCGAGGGGATGCAAGGTCCTGGGTGCTTCACTAACCTGCTGCCCGTGGTCTTAAACACCCACAGGCCTTTTCGGGGCTTTATCAAAACCTTCACTTTCTGAACCTGGCTGGAGGGCAGTCCCTGAGCTCGGTCGATGCCACCGTCAGGCAGTTCTGCACCAGCAGCTGGGAGAAGGTGAGATCCTGCCTAGGAGATGCCAGCCCCTGCCCGGGTTTCGCCCGGGCACTGGGCAGCCTGAGGGCTCCTCCGCAGCCCAGGCCCTGCTGTGCAGACAGCAGCTGGAGCGAGCTGGGAGGAGCACGAAGGGGTCTGGCACCGGTGAC